TAAACCTTAGGTTTTCTTCATTTTTTTTGTTTTTGGGGGGTCCTGTTTTCTAATTGTCCTTACAAAGTAGTATTGAGAGATTTGTCTTCAGTGTCACTAGTTTTGTCTTCCATTGCTTCAGTTCTACTCTTTAGTCTTTCAGTGTGTTACCTATTTCTGAAATCTCAATATTGATCTTATGAATTTCTATTTGCTTTTTTGTATGTTTCTAATTTTTATTTTATCAGTTCTTATATTGTCTTCCTAAATTTTTCTAGAGTTTTATTTGTGCTTTTCTTAATTTTGTCAGTGTTTTCCTTGTTTATGCCAGTGTTTCCTTTGCTGTGTCCCTCAATCTGTTAAAGCTACTACTTAAATATAATTCTTTCGAATTCCTTATCAGGTAGTTCCAGTGCCGCTTCTTCCTCATGGAGGTTTTCTTTCTCTGCATTCTAGTCCCTGGTTTGTACTACTTTATCTTGCTTCCTTGTGTGAACTGGAATTGTCAGAACTGGAATTGTCAGTTGTCTCCAAGGTGTCATTGTGATACTGCATTTATATTTAATTGGCGATTGTATGTTTGGTTCACACAGGGTTTTTTGTTTTTGTTTTGTTGTTGTTGCTTTGATATATCTGAGTAAGCAGGGCTTTTGTGCTACTCTGTTCATAAGTGTGGCAGCACTTAGGCACTCAGCATTTGTCTCCTGGTGAGTATGGTAGAGGATGAGAAGGTGTGCATAGGTCTGTGTTAGCTGTTCATGGAGAGCAGTTGAGGATAAATAGGGCTGGTATTGGCAGCTGTCTGTTGTTGTTCAGTTGGCATAAAAGCCAGTAGGATGTGTTGATGTGGTTGGGTCATGTGGACATGGTTACTGTCTCTTGCCAGGTAGGGCAAAAACAAAACAAAACAAAAAATTCACCAACACCAAAGAAAACCAAAAATACTACATAAACAACCACAAAAAGGAAAAGGAAAAAAAGTGAAGAGGAAAAGATGTAAAAAGGAAAAAGAAGACAAAAGAAGAACAGAGGCAAAAAAAACGAAAGAAAAGAAAAAAATCCCACTATCTGGAGGGGAGGAAAAAAGCAAAGAGAACCAGGTAGAAAGGATAGTAAAGGAAAAAATAAGAGAAATTCAAAAAGAAGAATAAGGAATGGGAAGAATGAAAAGAAAAAGGCGAAAAGAAAGGAAAAGGAGGGGGGAAGAAAAAAACAGGGAAAGGAAAGAAAGGAAAAAATAAAGAGAAAGAAAAAGGAAAGAAAGTATAATTAAAAAAAAAAAAAAACTTGGAGTGGGGGCAGGGCACCTAGCTAAGCAGGCTGTGGAGAGCAAGGCACCTTGTCCTCGCTAGTAGGACCCAGAAGACAATTGGGGCCCAGATGATTTTTTGCTGACCCTGTCTGTGGGCAGGGCATCTGGACCCAGAAAAATTCCTGTAAGCCCAAACTGGTGCTGGTAACAAAGCCCCTGGTTCAGCGGAATTCCTGACAGCTGAGGGCAGGGCATCTGGCCTCAGATAAATAAAGTTCCTGCAGTGCCAAAGGGCAGCTGGGTGCAGAGTCCCTACTCCCAGGAAAAGTTCTGGCCATCTCAGTAGGTGATGGATGTAGGACATCTGGTTCTAGAAAAAGATCCTGCCAACCTAAAAGATTGCTGGGAGCAGGACAGCTAATCTCAGAACTAGCTTCTGTCTATCTAGAATGCAACTGGGGACAAGTTCCTGTTGATCCAAAAGGTGATTTGGAGCAAGGTACCTGTTTCCAGATGAAGTTCCTGCCAGCTCAAAAAGTGACTGTGGGCAGGGTATCTGATCTCAGGCAAAGTTCTCGCTGTCTCAAAAGGCAACTGGGTGCAGGGCCACATTCCCAGGAAAACTTCCTCCTGTTTCGAAAGCTGACTGAGCACAGGGTACCTGGTCTCATAAAAAGTTCTTCAAACCAAAACCAAACTCACTACCATTGAATCGAGTCAGACTCACAGAGGCCCCCATTGGGTTTTTGAACCTATAAATCTTTACAGAAGTAGATTACCCCATCTTTTGTGGAGCAGCTGGTGGGTTTGAATTACTGACCTTCTGGTTAGCAGCCAGATACCTTATCCATTACACTGCCAGAACTCTTTCAAAAGTTCCTACTGGCCCCAAAAGTGGCTGGGGGCAGGGTTTCAGTCCTGGTCCAGGATGGAGTTCCTTCTGGTCTAGGAGGTGGGTAGGGGTGGGGAATGGCCACACCTCTTTTTATTCAGAGGGTTTGGGATACAAGGGAAACAAGGGAATACTGCATCTTTTTGATCATCAGCTACCCTTGTGGTTGCCCATGCGTTCCTCAGCAAGTGCAGCTGTTTATCAAGTTGCTACCCTGATCAGAACGCTGCTTGCAAGTATTCAAAACGGCTCTCTCCACTAGCAGGCCAGTTGACAGTATACATTTCCAATTGTCTCCTCATTCACTATTTTCTTCCGTTTCGTTTACTAGGTGGTATTTAATCCACTTCTTTATCCTTTCTTTTAAAACTCAGTGTTCCAGGATTATCTTCTGTTTCTGTTTTAATTGGTTTCTTTCTTTTTTTTTTTTTTTTTTACTTTCATTGTGGTGAAAACATACAATACATTCACCAACATAACAGCTTCCACAGCTTCCACGTTTACAGCTCAGGGACATTGATTACATTTTTCGTGTTGTCCCACCATTATTGCTCTCCTTTTCCAAAATATTTTACCACCTATTAGCACCTATTAGCATAAACTCAATGCCCCCAAACAAAATATTCCCTCTTCCCCCTCCCTCCTACCCCTGGTAACCACTAATGATCTTAGGTGTATACACACACACACACACACACACACACA